TGCTAAATTAGGGACGGCTAGCGCAGGTAGCCCTCGTGTAGCTTTGCGCGAAACTCAAAAAACAAAAAAAACAATATTAATAACGTACTATTTACGGCAAGGAATACTTAAAGTAATCAGTAATCAGAAGTTGATAAAGGCTGGAGGCAAAGGCTTATACTCCACTTTGTTTAACAGAACATTTCAGTTAGACGGGGAAACATTAATATTAATTATAAAATAACTTATATAGAAGCTGGACTCAAGAATACTTAAAATAATCAGTAATCAGAAGTTGATAAAGGCTGGAGGCAAAGGCTTATACTCCACTTTGTTTAACAGAACATTTCAGTTAGACGGGGAAACGTTTATATTAATTATAAAATAACTTATATAGAAGCTGGACTCAAAGATGGAGAATCTAATTTAAGCATTAAAACGTTTTTATACTGATCTGTATTAACTTATGAATCTTAGAAATCATGTAAGACGTAATAAACAACGTACACGAATTACAATTCAAGGAATGCAATAACCTGAATATCTTCAAAAAATAAAAATATCATTGAACATGGCATGCGTTACAAGCCTAATGTTGATGTTCAGCGATAGTAACTAGCGTGCAAACAACAAGTTTTGAAGCGTGTGCACATGAATATTCGTTAACATTATTAACGCACGTGAAAATACTCGATATCCAATTTTTGAAGCACATACACATGAGTATTTGTTGATAATATAACCGCACGTGAAAATACTCGATATACAATTTTTGAAGCACATACATATGAGTATTTGTTGATAATATAACCGCACGTGAAAATACTCGATATACAATTTTTGAAGCACATACACATGAGTATTTGTTGATAATATAACCGCACGTGAAAATACTCGATATCCAATTTTTAAAGCACATATACATGAGTATTTTTCGATAATATTACTGCGTGTAAATCATACTCGATATCAACACACTGTTATTTTTCTTTTTCTTAAGCCGATAACAATTCAAGGTGGTGGACAGTAACGCCACTTGAGATATCATATTGAGGGGGGAAGGATTCTTACGGAGCCCCACGAAACGCTAGGCCTAAAGTGAGAATGCAAAAATATGTGGCTTTGTGCTGTACTGCGGCTTTACAGCACACACAACCCTTCCTTTACCAACAATGTGCGTATCTGGTGTAAGATTTATTTTATATTTAGTATGCGCCTACATAAAGATTCTTTTGCCTACCCGATCAAAATAATTTGAAGTTCATTATAACCAGGAGAGAAGGGGGCAGAGGTTTGAGAACTTCAAGTAAAAAAATAAATAAATAAAAACTTTTTTATTTTTAACTCTTCATCGGCGGAAGCCATTTTGTATTAATTCAATTCGTATCGGCGCTGATTTGATTAAAATGTTTCATTTTCTGACGCGCAGAAAACAAATTTACCCATAAAACTGTTTTGTCTTGCAAAAAGTGTTTTTTTTTTTACAACTACTAACATTATACTTCCTCACAAAGCTACATTTATGAGGTTTCCCTGACCCCCCACACCATAGATAGCCGTTATGTAACTTTGCGCTTAACTACAAACAAGCAAAGAGGTCCCCCCATGTGGCTTAACGCTAATATTTACGGCTTATAACGCTAAAATTCGGCCTGTTAAGGGTTGTTGGGCAATCTGAGGGTCGCGAGTTCGAATCCCCGTCACACCAAACATGCTCGCCTTTCAGCCGTGAGGGCGTTATAATGTGCCTGTCAATCCCACTATTCGTTGCTAAAAGAGTAGCCCAAGAGTTGGCGGTAAACGGAGTTGACTAACTGCCTTCCCTGTAGCCTATCACTGCTAAATTAGCTATGGCTAGCGCAGATAACTCTCGAGTAGCTTTGCGCAAAATTCATAACAAAAAACGAAAATAGTTTCAAGAATAGACCACTTTACTGGGTCTGTATTGTTATATTTCTTTCTAACAGTGTTTTTCTTTTTTTGTAAATTCAATTATATATGCAAGAATAATGGTTTGACAATTCAATTGACCATTCAACGTTGTTTCTCAAAAATACTTTTTATGTGAGTAGATTCGTATTCATTTGCTATTTATGTTACGTTGGTATAAAACCAACATCATTTATATGGAATCCAATTTAGATAAGTTATTGTGACTCAATTCAACCTTGGGCAAGAAATTCTACCACTTCGAGAACCGTTACAACGATCATTAAATCTTCCCCTTCCCCAGTGAAAAACATTCTGGCTACGAGCCAGTCTTTTAATAAGTTAAGATTGAATTGAGTCACACTGTAATGGTTCTCGAAGTGGTAGAATTTCTTGCCCTACGATCATTAAGTCTTCCCCTTCTCCAGTGAAAAACATTCTGGCTACAAGCCAGTCTTTTAATAAGTTAAGGTTGAATTGAGTCACACTATAATGGTTCTCGAAGTGGTAGAATTTCTTGCCCTACGATCATTAACTCTTCCCCTTCCGCAGTGAAAAAAATTCTGGCTACGAGCCAATCTTTCCATCTTCGTTCTTGAAGAACTTGGTTTTCTTTACATTCTTTATAGGCATAGGAACCGTGTATATCAAACAAGAATACCGAGAAATAAACGTGTTAAAAAGACGCGTATATAAATGGTATGGCTGGATTGAAATAATTTATACGGTCAGATAAATTTGGATTTTTTAAAAGAAGATTAGCTGGTAATAGAAGACTGATGGTCAACTCCCGGTGATGAGGAATTTGTAAGACTGGTGGTC